TCAGTCCTAGAGGAGATCAACCCTGACTGCTCTTTAGAAGGCCAGATCCTGAAGTTGAAACTCAAGTACTTTGGCCACCTAATGAGAAGGAAGGACTCACTGGAGAAGAGCCTAATGCTGGGAAAGATTGAGGGCAATAGAAGAAGGGGACGACAGAGAAGGAGGTGGCTGGATGGAGTCACTGAAGCAGTAGGCGTGAACTTAAATGGACTCCAGAAGATGGTAGAGGACAGGAAGACCTGGAGGAACATTGTCCATGGGGTTGCGATGGGTCGGGCACAACTTCGCAACTAACAACAACAACAACATATGTTGTGGTTGACATAGATTGCATTAAATAAATTCCATTATAAAGAAAAAGAGTTTCTGATAATTGTATTATCAAAGCTTGTTCGTGAAGACTTTAATCCGAGAAGAGTGAAGATGTTAAGAGGAAAGGATATCACTAGACAAAACAGGCACTACAGTTTTAAAAATATAATTATGCAATACTATTTAGCCAACCCAACACGTGGGTACTGCTCTTTTTCCACGATCACATGTGCAGTACAAGTAGCACTTGGCACAGTTATAAATAACACTCTGATCAACAAATGAAGGTCCTCTTTGTCATGCAAAAAAGAAGGAACATTTAGAAGAATGAAAACTGCCCAAAGTAACCGCATTTGTTATGCAGTGGTTTGAGAGGTGATCATCAAACCATATTTGAACACATTGGTCAGATTGCCCAGAGAAGCCAAAATTCTTCCAAATTACAGCTGATCGTGATTGTGCAGTGGGCATTTATAACTAACTAGCTGTACCCGGCCACGCGTTGCTGTGGCTCAGTCTGGTTAAATGGAAAAGAAAGAAAAGAGAAAGCGCACGTTTGTAATATGTTTAATTTCACAATGCCTGTGGGTATACAATATTTTTTTTTGTTCCATTGTCTGTGCAGATATAGAGACTGTCTGGTTTGCCAACTCTAGAACACGCAACATATAATTGTCCATGTGAGAAGCAATCCGTGTCTAGATCTAAACCGCACAATTGTAAAGATTGGCCCTGAGCTTTGTTGATGGTGATTGCAAACGCCAATTGAATTGGGAATTGCAATCTCTTAAATTGAAATGGCATATCCGTTGGAATCATAGGAATGCGAGGAATGAGGAATGTATGTGACTGCCTCGCTTTGAATGTTAGACTGAATCGGAAACATTGAAATGGAATCGTAAAATCGTAGCGTGTTTTTTCCTGTCACAGGTGTGACATTTATATAATGGTATATAAAAACATGCGCGTACTCGAATGCAACGTTGTGTCAAAATTTCAAAGCAATCGGTGAAGAACTTTCGGAGATTTAAGATTTTGAACAAACGAACATTTACATTTTTATTTATATATAGATAGATATGCAATCGTTTCATTTGCCTCTTCCTGCCAGCAAGTACAGCTAAGTAAATCAGGGAGCTTGACGTGTGTTTTGTTTAGCATTACCTCTCGATAGAATCCCTTTTGATAAGGTCGTCGCTGACCCTTGGCATCAGAGTCTACATCAGTGGTTCTCAACTTTTTTAATGCCGCGACCCCCAACCGGTCGTAAGTCGGGGACTAAACCGGTCGTAAGTCGAGGACTAAACCGGTTGTAAGTCGAGGACTACCCAACCGGTCGTAAGTCGAGGACTTTCCCTGCCCGGGAGCGCCGCGCATGCGTGGTTCCGCCCCCTGCGCCGGCCGAGGCGTAGCTGGCAAGCGGCAGAGACGGAGCAGGCCGACCACCAGCTGGCCCAGGCCAAGGGAGGTAAGGCACCCGCCGGAAAAGGGAAAAAAATGGCGGACAAAATATGGCGGACAAAAAAAATGGCAGACAGCCTTGCTTGGCGACCCCCGTGAAATGGTCGATCGACCCCAAATGGGGTCGTGACCCATAGGTTGAGAACCGCTGGTCTACATCATCAGAAGGGCAACAAAATGGAGATCCCAATAAAACAGGAACGTATTCACAACATGAAACGATCTAGACTGACACAAGGAGCTAAGTGGGATCAACTGAGTAAGGGTGTACCACTGGTTGCTCAAACACAACAAATTCGCAGAATGAAGTTGGCTTGTTTAGAATTTCACAAGTTCACTTTAACCTGAAATATCTAGTTCAAGGCAAAACCTATTAAAAGTTTATCCTATGCGATGGAAATAGAGTTGGGGGGGGTGTACCTGTTGTCTTCGTTTCTCCTCTTCGACGGCAGCTCTAGCCTCTGCTTCCTTAATCTGCATAAATAAAATATAAAACTCACTGTATTGCTTTTTGCGAAAACAGTTCTAAATAGATCATCTAACTACAACATACTTTCATATGACGTGACATTAGCTCACTAAGGTATAGCCCAGGGGTAGGCAACCTTGGCTCTTTTATAACTCGTGGACTTCAACTCCCAGAATTCCTGAGCCAGCATGGCTCAGCTTGGAAACCTCTCCCTTTCCCCTCAGCGTGGCTGGCTCAGGAATTCTGGGAGTTGAAGTCCACGAGTCATAAAAGAGCCAAGGTTGCCTACCCCTAATATAGCCCGAGAACTTTCTAAGCCATGCTACTCAACTTCATTAAGAACAGTAAAATGTTGGTTTAATTGTCAAACCGCTGGAAAAGTAAAATAAAATCCCAATCTTAAATTTTTTTTACATCTTTCAAAAACAACAACAACTATAAGTTCTTTACAAACATATAATAAACTGGTTTCTTCCATTTCCGTAATAAAGTCTCACTTCCAGCGTTTATCCATCCTTTGGCTTATGAAGCTTGCTAAGCATTCCCTGCAAGTCTGTCGCTGCAGATCTCTTTGGCCTCGCCCCACCCGGAATGTGGATTATATTATACCAAGGCAGGCAACCCCACCCTACAATATTTCATCTAATTCTGCATTGTTCTTGGCTCAGCTCTGTTTCAGACAGATTCAGTCCCACTGGGAGACTTTCTGCTTTATTTGCACTACATACAAATGAACTAAATTTAACATGCAATTGCTGTTTAATTGGCCTACCCAACAGTCTTGGTAAGTAATCTTCCACACATTTTCATCACTCAAAATAGCAGTAATATATTGTAGCCGCGAAGGGCAAATTACCTCAGAAGCTTTCCGTTTCATTTCTTTGCATACCGCATCGCATTCTAAGAAACACTGACCTTCGCGAACTTCATTGCACAGGAGTTCCTAGGAGAACAAGTTGAATTTTTTTTAAAACAAATCCTTACTTTCCCCCCCCCCCCATTCCACAAAAGTTCTGTATATATTGCAACGTTACTTGCTACAAAGGATGTTCAAAATAAACTATTTTATTCTCCCAACAAACAAAAGTACACTTGTAGTTATTTGTTTATATTTCATACTAGCTGTACCCGGCCACGCGTTGCTGTGGCTCAGTCTGGTAAAAAGCGTGTGTTGCTTTTACGTCCAACAGATGGCGCTGTTTTTCAAAAAAAGCATGTTTTTACCTGTCACAGGTGTGACATCTATATAATATACTGTAGGTATATAAAAACACGCACATATTCGAATGCAACGTTGTATCAAAATTTCAAAGCAATCGGTGAAGAACTTTCGGAGATTTAAGATTTTGAACAAACGAACATTTACATTTTTATTTATATAGATTTCTAAACTGCCCATCTCTCTTAAAGAGAGTTGCTCCCAGTTATTTGATTAAGATGAGCAGTCATATGGAAGGAAGGAAGGAAGGAAGGAAGGAAGGAAGGAAGGATTTTATTGCACTCATCTGCTAGCTGGATGGATGCCACAATTCCCCTTCTTTGTACCTCCCATATCCTTCCAAAGTGGGGAGATTTGGGAAGGAAGAGAGGACAGAATAAAGAGAGTTGAAGATCTACCCACCCATCTGCCAGATCATCAGATAATGTGCGACAAATGTCTTGTAAGTAGAATCCACAAACGTCAGATATAACTAATAATAAACATACAGGGAATCGGTTGGGGGGGGGAAATATTAAAGGTATCTCCCAGGCATTAAAGGTCCGAACCAGCATTCTTCTTACAAGAAGAGAATGGCAACCAAAGTTAGTCCAAAATTGTGTGCAGTGCACAACAAAAAGTCACACATAAGAGTGTCAGCAGGATTTGTAAAAAAAAAAAAAAAAAAAAAGCCAAGGTGATAGCTGCAATCAAAGCTCTACCTGTTTTGTGTGCAATGTTAATATTTTTCAAAGTTAATTGAGGTAGAAAGATCACTATCGTAATTCTATTTCAGGAATTATCTATTAAAGATTGTTTGCCATACCAACTGCTGAAAAATATATCTGCCAATTTATATCTTGCTATATTTTAGTCTCAAAATAAACTAAAATTTGGGAATTTACTTCAAACTGTTACTCATATTATGTTAATGCAGATGCCAAAAGGGCCCTCACTGTTGTTATATTTA